TATTTATTGTTTAATATGAAAATCAGCGTAAATGATGTTGCTTAGCTCAAGAACAATATTCTACCGATCGTCGAAGCTTCAAATATTATACAATACTTAGGTGAATCACACGTCTTTTAGCTGTCACCACGATAGCTGGGGTCGTGCCGGATGCCGAGTAAGGACAATGGTACAATAAGAGGCAAAAAAGGGTTGTAGTGTTAGTGATTTTGAATACGGCCTAAACGCATCAGGCACTGCATGCACGAACAGTCGGCTCGTATCGACAGAGTTGACCGTCATTCCAGATCGCGGGAGCCATTATACGATATTTTTTTTCAACTCGACAAATAAATGTCGTCGTATGCCATTTACAGAAATGGAAAATAATCATAGGTTTGGGTGGTACCAAACACTTCTAATGTCTTGGTGAATCGACGATTAAGACAGTGCGGCAAATCAATACGCCTTCAAGTCTATATACTAATACCTGGCCTGTCATTCTGCTACGGCCAGCATGATCCGGCTAACCGAACAGAGAAGATTTTAGGCTGAATCATAGACTGATAATGAGCGCCGCCAGAACTGTTATCGCCATCGGTTGAACAACACTGCCATATATGTTTGCACTGAACTATATGTGTATCCTACTACTAGTTTTTTTTTTCTAGCCAGAGTTAGGTAAAATACTTGTCAGATAAACTAAGTTTCCGACCGTCATAGTTGTCATTAAGTTTCCGATGACTGATCACTGCGTCAACTTGTGTTCGTGAACCGTCGAAAGTACATCGTTAGCCGTCCAAGTCAACTGCTCTAAACGAATACGACCAATCGTAAGCGAAAATTTTCACTCTCGATTTGAATCGTCACCAACACCTAGCGCATAATATATACGATATATTTTACTTTTTTTTTATTATGAAAAAATCTTTGCTTTTTTTTTTATTTCCAGTTACGAATTGCTTCTTCAGACATCATCAGATACTTTTCTGCGTCTATCTAACTGGGTGGCTGTAAAGTCCCATACAGCAACAGGCTAATTGTGTAAGACATTCGGCATTAGTGCCATTTGGCTACTGAGATCTGGCAGGGGGAAATGTACGAAAATGATTGAAATAACATTTTTCGGACTCTAAGACCCCTTGATTACGATAAAGGCACCAGTACTGCCCAAGTCCACAAAACAAAGTGCACTGCTTATAATGAAGACGCGTTACCGGACGGGACGACTTAAGCGTGGTTCCGTCACTTCTGTTACGGACCAATTAGGGAAAAAAAGTTACTGCGGATGTTGAGCGGACACGTCAGAAGGAATGCAATACATTTTATGGTAAAGCTCGAACGAGGTGACTCTATACATTTGTCGAGATCGGAAAGTAACTAACTGTGTGTTATAAACAGCTGGCTGGCGAAACAACTAATCCAGACCGCCACTATTAACAACTAACGATATCACAAGAAGCCACTGAAAAAGGATAATCGGAACTATTGTTCAGCAAGAGTGTCGTCTTCCACCGTGACGATGCCAGGCCATATGAAGCTAGCTTATGGGGAAATTTCAATACATTTACACCATGAGATTATTGTCTGTCTCAGTATCTGCAGAACACCCTCAATGGTGTTAAACGGAAAGATGCAAAATTCATTTGCCACAATTTCTCACCTAGAAACCAAGCAGGATTCACGGCTGATCGAATCGTGGACCGAAAATCGTCAAAACATTTTCGACCACACAATATATATATGAACAGTACTTGGTTGAATACCGAAATTATGACGACAACCACTTAATTTTCGCGGTAACAATATTTATACTGAAGTCTAGAGACAAATGGCGATAGCATATGTTATGCCGCTGGTGAATATTATCACCCATAAAACTGAATATTTCTGCACACCTAACTATTCTGCGATGGCCACATAAAGAACATATATAGGAATATCATTCATAGAAACCACCGTACCTATGACCATACCTGTAATATGTGCGATACCAGCCCGTCCGCTACAACATCAATCTTCCTCCGGGTTGCCTATCTAAGTTTAGTAATCTGTCTCCCTGACAGCGGTTAATTCTGCTTCTGCTTTTTGTGTTGTATGTATATTTAGTGTCCTTGTCGCTGTTGCTAAAAATTTGCCACGGTATTACCGGCCTATTGCTCGACGCCACAAAACCTTGTCGATACTCCGTTTCAGTCTCGGCTCAGGGCTGAGCAGGCGCTCGATCTTGCAAGTCGATTGCGAGTTGGAACTCGAAGAGTCAACCCGCAACGACTCTCGATCCCGAAGCGATACATTGCCCGCCCGTACATGCCCCATTTTGCTTTGGCCGATACGTGCCTCATTTTGGTCCGCTCTTTGCCGCTCTCTCCCTTTATTGACTTTTCATGTCCCGCCATGACATCTGATGGCGCCAGGAGACGTTTCATAACGTTATTATACGGCCAGAACTGCAACGCGACCCAATGGCGCCCCACGTATATCGACACACACGGAGAGGAGACACGGATTTGTTATCGGTCCGCGTACAGTCGGCACAGTGTCCCTCTTCCTTGCACGCCTAGAGACGCCAAGGCACGAAGCAATGAATGGCCGAAGTTGAAATAAGGCAGAAGCAGTAGCAGAAACGCACGCACTTACGTTCTTATTATGACCAGCGGATTGTCTCACGTGTGATTCCTGACAAGGAGCGATTAAATATAGAATTTCCAACTGAGTCGTTGTTTAAAAGAGAATGGAATCGCATATCATTCCTGATTCACAACAGATTCCCCAACGTTGGCGCTATCCGTTTCGAATCGGTTGCGTTGATTAATAACGTTAGAGAAGTACGAACTTGGGCTTGCATTATGTGAGTACCATTACACGCTGTCGGAGCCAGGCGACGGCAATGGGCGTATCGTTGTGGACGACCTTGTAATTATTTATGAAAAGAAGCAATGGTGATCTCTAATAGAGCAGCGAGACAGACGATCGATACGGCGATTAGGGCTACGAAAACAGAATACCTACTCTGCTTCATGATCGAGTGGGCTTGAAGTTTCGTGTAGGCTTTGTGACGACTCTACGACAAGTTATGACGGGCGTGTAATGTACGCTTGCTATACCTTTGATTCAATGTAACGTATATGTTTTTAAAGAGAAACGTCTCATTTAGCACAGTTGTTTTAGTCATAAAGGTATCATACGGAACCGTATCATGGTTAATTAATTAAAGCCAGCAAAGAAAAATACCTAGTTTTGTTGCATCATTAACTTTCAAATGGTGCTTAATTAATGTACACTGCTTGTTCGCACAGTGTTGCGTCCTATACACGGGACGCCAGCTCAGTCTATTTCCTGCTAAGAGCATTAGCGTGTATTAATATCTAAAAAGACGCAATGGAATCGGTTCCCCAAGTAGATAATGTTGATGCTACATAGTCAACCATGTTCTCAATTCTACCTTTCAAATGCCCGTTCACCAACAGGATGTAAATAAGGAACCTGTTCGTGCTCCCTCACCAAGCTTCTTCCCTTTTATAAAAAAAAAAAGGACAACGTGAGTTACTCACGTTTTATATGCAATAATTGCGTAACATAGTTAAATGGCAGGCGATGAGGTTTTGCTGAAAAGCCTTTAGCCTAGTAGAAGAAACGTACGACCAATTTATGGCTGATGGCAGTGCATTGAGAGTTCCGAGTTCCGCGTCGAACGCAACGAACGCGAACAAATAGATAGTTTGTTTAGCATTGAAGTAAAGGTCAGTGTGAGACCAAAAGGCAATAAATAACTATTTGTTTACTGCCAGATTAACGATAACGATGACAGCGGTAACGACCGATTTAAACATTCGAAGCTCGATAAGGTTTGATAAAAATTTTACCGTCTTAACTAGATGTACACAGATCTCCTCTCTCTCTCTCTCTCTCTCTCTCTCTCTCTCTCTCTCTCTCTCTCTCTCTCTCCCTCTCTCTCTCTCTCCCTCTCTCTCTCTCGTAAACACTTGTTCGACAAGATATTCATAGACGTTTCATTGAATCGTGAAAAACAGCAACACGAATCCAACTATGTTATGTGTAGTGAAGTAAAGCAAAATGCATCCCAATAGAGTGTGCAGAAATATTTGACGCGTCTAACAGCTGTAACGCTTTACCTTTTTGTGAGTCGACGCTACTTTATAACAGTTAACAGGTAAGTTAGTAAAGTACTTGTATCTGACTTCACCTTAAAGGAATATCGGATCCTCCTCTGAAGTACATTTACTACTAAACTTAATTGAAGTGCCGCGAATGATACACAGTATGCTAGGTTTACGAATAAGCTATTCTGGTTCTGCCTTGACCGAAAGCACGTTACCACCTGAACAAAAGAATTTGACACTCCTTTGCCAGCCTAACCTGGCGCATATATTTGTCATCCCTCAAAGGACACACACTCTGGCCGGCAAAAGGACGCATGGTAAGCGTTAACTGTATTCAGCTACTGAGAAAAATCCTATTGTAGTCCGCTTGCGGACCCGTGTATGATGCCAATAGAACAGCGGAATTCAATTATAGAAGCCACACAAGTTCGCGCCAGATTCGACCGATTAGTTTTCTTAACATTGCGTCGTTGTTTGAAGGTAGGATAAAATCACCTAGTCACTGTCAGGTATATGCCACTCGATGCCTAGATACGCAGACGCGACTACAAACAGAGAACTTCGTTCTTGTGATCGCCGTTCAACGGGTTCAACTGTGTAGTGTATGTACGTACCTGTCATAAATCAAATGGCGTCCTATTGGATTGATGCTCTAAGCATCTTGGCGTGCACTTGAATAGCCTGCAATGGCAGGATCCATTTCTCCCTGTGTGTTTGCTGCCGTGTAATGCACAGTATGGCTAATAGTTATTGATTTTCACCGATACTCAGTTAGAACTAGTAGCGATATTAGCAGTAGTTAAATAAGAGGTAATTAGTCATTGTAATAGCGGAATTATCACACGAGGTCACTCACACTCACTCCAAGGATGGGGGGCATAACATATTCATACATACCTCAGTTGCTTCAGCACGCACTCCGATCAATAACACTATGATCTAGTCGTAATTTCTTTCTTTTTTAACGCGCGACGCACTTTTCCGCATGCACTTTATGGATGAAAGACATATTTACTATTCCGCAATCACGTCCGTTCTCAACTGTTGTGTTCTCACTGATTCGCGCTAGCTGAAGAAGGGACATGGCCAGTTGATACTTCGTTGTTCTTTAGCAGCTGGGCCTACTGACAACTGTAGAAACGGAGACTTTCCGATAGTCGGTTAATTGCCAGCTTGCTTCAGGGATAGTAGCATCACGGTTGGAATTTAACTCCAACTATAATAATTATAGCGGGAAATTTCGATGTGCAGCCACTGCTCCATTGCCGTAGGGAAGCACCTGTTCCTATTGTATATGATTCTAATTGCAACAGTAACGACAGGCTAGAGTTGATAAAATATCGCGGCGACGTGTTGTTGTTTGGTTGGCTATGATCGTTGCTGCTGCTGCTGCTGCTGCTGCTGCAGCTGTTATCGTCGTACGATCAACAGGAGTATATGACAGCAAGCGTCAACTGTAGTCAGAAGGAGCTACGGCGTCGTCCCGGGTGTATTTGTAGTATTTGTAATAATCACAGTAGTTGTCATAGAAGTCATTGTTCATAATTGTTTGCGGTGCGTTTCTGGCACTAGCTCATCTCATGGCATAGCAGCACTTCCACTGCTTCTCTTTGTCCTCGTTTTGGACCTGTTTTATCGCATACGATTTTTCGTGACCGGACAGTCACGCTGTGCTTTTCAATTTCATGCAATAGATGTTGCTTGACGTGTTTACGCTCGTTGGTTTTACTCGGTTGATTTCGTCCGTCTGCAGGAGTAGCTACTAATAGCAGTAATACAAATAGGTAAAGAGCGAGAGACAGAAGGATAGACCAGCGGAAAAAAGTAAGTTCTGCCGCAGAACTTCGAAGCCGCCAGTCGCTTCGGCAATTGGTTGGCGCGCGTATTCCAATATCGGTCAAGCTGATTAGGATAATAGAGTATTTACAGACGATTGACTCAATCAACTGCTTTCGAATTGTAACTAGTTCAAAAGGCACAACCCGAATAAGCTAAAATAACTTACGCGAGGAATGAACCTACTCAGCACGACGGGCCTACAAGCGACATTGATTAATAGCGGGTCTGAAGCGTAAGAGCGTTTCAATCAGACGTTTCCTTTAAGTATAATCATAGCTTTCGCCATGTAGACGAAAGGATTCTATCCGTAAAAGAGCAAAATAGTTTTATAAACAGAGAATAAATGCTGCCACCTCTTTAGACTCATGAACCTCGCATTGCCAACGCATCCAGTCTTAATTAAGTGCTGTGCAGTGCACTCACTAAACCTAGCTTTCTTTTTTCCTATCGCAAAACATTCTACACGGCCTATGGGGTTTGAGTGACCGTCACTGTACTGCCTTATATTGTGCTTGTTGAAAAGGAAAAATAATGAGGAAGTAGAAATGTCGAAGATCCACTGAGCACCTTCTGGTCGTCAAACATCAAGGCGCAATACTTGACGCCTATCAAAGCTGTTACTGAAGCCGACTCAGGTATTACTGTCACATTTGCGAATGATCTCACTCCGTGTCGTTACGAGCCCTCGTTATACTTTATCGAGTTGGGCTAGCAGTTATTGCCGCTGTTTTCACGGGCCACTGTACATCTCCCTTCGAAAAATCGATGCCAATGTGCGTTGTATTTAGTGTTAGTATGCGATGCCTTTAAGGCACTCAGCCTGGTTAGCTCAATTTCTCTCTACCGAAAAGATAACCCTTTTTTTGCGGTATCCAAAAACTGAAACTGGGATTGGCACTAAGGATTTGAGCTTCAACCCGCTCTTATAAACTACGTTCTTTCTTTCTCCATGTGTCTCTCTTTCCCTCCGCTATTCGAAGTGCAGCTACAGATTACGCACGTATACCGATTTTCGCCAGTCTGCCGTTTCCCGAAGCTATCTTCGTATGTACGTTACACTATGTAGAGTTGACTTTGAGAGAAGATCTGTTCGTTATTTACAACTTTCTCATTAGATATACATATATATACGTATATATATGCACAATTTTTGCTTCCTGCTGCTTGAATTTTCACTTTCACACACAACTTTGTGTTGATCTGCATGGAAAAACGTATCCGTTCTGGACACGATATTCTTGCTGTGAGAAATCCGTCTTTACCAATATTGGTATAGGTTTGTTTCTCGAGCAGCTACCGTTCATTCAATAGCACCCCATCGTAATTTTCCTAAATGATACGATAATGAACCCGGATCTTTGAAACCATTGGGAGCGCACACGGCGTCGTTAGGATTTGCTTGTACCATTGGAATTATTTATAGTCGTGCTATGAAAAGCTGCATATCAAGAGCCCTACATGCTGTCATGGGGCGGAAACACATTACACGCGTAGCTCGGAGCTCGTTCAGACCCACCACTTCAATTTAACAGTGAGTAATCCAGGTACAAACTATGAATGTACACAAATTTCAATGAGTCAAAACTCAAAAAGTTAGTAATTAACAGTAACACTCCATAGTAAATGCAACAATGAAACATACATAACACACGGACATAATTCAGTGACGTTATGGCGGATTATTTTGTTTTTCCACCCTAGATTTATCCTTTTTCCTTTGTTGAGAGAAACAAGAACTCAATTTGTTCAATCTTCACTCTTCTATTTCGTTTGTTCTTCCTCCGAAAATCTTCCCGAAAGTTGACTAGAGAAAAACCACAGCACAGAAATTTGAGCGATTTTGCGCTACTAAAGATACCATGACGCGCTGTTGAAATTGATTAGACCGCTTAAAAGAGACGGTCGGTCGCTTGGCTTATCCTAGATTTATAACGATATGCCTAATGGCGATACCGGACGTAAAACTCGAAACATGGAGACTTACAACGATACAATGGTGGTACAGTTAGTACAATAGCAGCGATGGCGGACCTGTGATAGTTGAGCTGAATGGAATAGTTGGTGTACATTTATAGCTGATAAACTTTCGGCATGCGTGGCTCGGCGCGCGGAGTTTGAACTCTTACTTCACGCTGGAGCTTTCGCCCTCACGACGGCCTGCCCGCATCTGGCGTGGAAGATGCCGAGGTCCGTTTCTCTAGCCCCTTTTGTCCCGGTTTGATCGTCGCTGGCGCGCGGATTCGAGCCCCTGCAGCAGCGCCATCTAGGAGGCATCTCAACAGCTTCGTAGAGCACTAAAGCGGAGTCTTCATCCGAGTTGAACACGCCCCTAAATATAGCTGGCAAGGAAGCGAGGAAGGCAGCCACATTTGGTTTTCTACGTACAACACCGTTTGCTTACCCCACTGTCTGGTCTGCGTCCCTTTTATACACATACACACCCACGACGTACGTTCCCCAGGGTAGATCTAGATGGAAAGGCTAAATCCAAACGCCGTTTCGAAAATCGTGTTACACATGTGTTACGCTGGTGTTTCGATTTGCTGTTGACGATAGAACGATGGAGTCTGGGACTGAGGTAGATTTATTGTCCTGTTTCGTAGTGATATATACGCCGTCGATTCTGTATGCTCGTTAGACACTTTCGGTCAAGTGCTCTGGAAGAACAATTGCCAAGTGGAAGTGTGCCAAGATGGTACTGGGGGCCTCTAAACTCTGAACATATACCAACATGGAGTTGCAAAAACATTGCCAGTAGAAAAAAATTGCTAAAATAGATATTATACACAAGACAACAAGACCTAGGTTGTAGGAAGTAGGAAGACTGGATTGCTTATTCATGATTTCAAATAAACTTGATAGACGTCAAGCAATACTTACTTTTATTCAATAATAATTTGTTTTTGAGATATAATATCGTGTCTGAATGTCCCAAACATTTGATAACAGGATCTACAACTCCATTTATGAAACTCTAATTCTTCCCTAGTAAAAATCTAAAATGTAATTCGTGTCCAAACATAAACCAGCTCTTAAAATAAATATCGTTATCTTTAGTTTAATGTGAATTAAACAGTTGTGTCCCCTAAAACCTAAGCAAGCAGATATTCCTACCTTTCCAAATACAACCCAAAACACGCCGTGTGTCGTGTACACCTGTTGATGTGGCAACTGGTTCTTCAAAATAAACTTCGTCTACGGATTTTTTGAATAACTGCGTAACATTTTTATACGTTAATAACTGTAAAGATAGCGTTAATCTCTGATGTTCAACAGTTTGGAAGAAGAAGCTTAATTTAGCTGCATACGAAGCAGATTATCAATAGTGCGGATGGCCTATTCAGACTCGGTTTAGATAAAGCGAAATGAATAGATTTGATCCGATATTCAAAAACACCCGCGGGATTTTGCGATGCCTCATAATCGTGCAGCACTATACGTTAAGCAAATGAGTGTGAAATAACTTATTATACAGCAATGGTAAAATGTATCCAATCGCTTCACTAGGTCACAAACCCTTTGAAGTATTTTGTAAAGCGCTGACTCAAATATTTCGTCGTGGCGGCGTAAAGAGATTTCTTCGAGATTTGTCCTGGTCCTGTTGAGAAAATGGCTGAGTAATCGAGTCCTGTTTGTCTTGATCTTGTCTTTCAAATCATGGTTAATTTCAACCCACCGCGCATTAGAGAAGAAAGACATTTTGCCGTTCTTGATTTCTTATGTTGTTGAGATGTGCTTAATTCCCTCTTTTATTCCGCACAAAGAACAAATACAGCGACAAAATGTAAAGACATTAATGAGCACAAACCCGTGGTTTTCACATGTTATTATTCTCTCAGGATCTTTACCAACGACTTGAGTATATAGATTGTGAGGCTGCAGAAGTTCAACACTGAATCAACGTACATTGTATGTCTTATTTACATACAGACTTACTTCGTACTTCCATCGATTAGCGCTCATGAACCAATCGTAAAAAATAGTCGATCCTTTACTATTATCGAAAACTCTTGCCAGCGTTGTTATGGCTGCAGTAATTTAATTAACCCTACGGTATTAAATAAACCTGAATACAAATTATGATAGCTAGCCCGCGTCGCATCTTTGAGTTGTTGACAGGATTGCGTGACCATCACAAATAGAAATAACATTGTATGTGTTTATCAAACATATGGCCTCAACGAAACTAATGAAACACGGAGAGTTATTTTACGACTTAAACAGATGCGTTCGACTGTTATGAGCTTTCATCCGTTATATTTCTAAAATCCATATCGTTGTCCTTACTCGAAGAGATAATCCTTCGCACAGATTCAGTTTTATAGACACAAACGTGACTATTCAATGGCAAAGGGAGTAAACGGCCTGAAAGCAGTTGACAGCCGCCTTTTAAATCGGTTGAAAGGCGCGCCCGAAGACAATACTGTGTAAATTGCTTACAATTCAAAACGGCCATCTCGCTTGCTACTGTTTGCATTGAGCGCCTGCGTTACACTCGTCTCAACATGGTTTCTTGGTCGGTATTGTTTTTCAAAATCATTCTATATAAAATTCATATAGAGATGGTCAAACGACGACGTTTTAGCAAGAGAAACTAATGTAGAGAAACACAGCATTCAGGCACATACTATTTTTCCGGTAACGACGTAACGTTGATGTAACAATAACGTTTATTCTAATTGTGCCAAAAAACGCTAACCGTCGGATTATGCATAGTTAGTAGCAGTCCAGTGACGGGAGATCTCCTCAGGTAATTCTCCTTGGCTTCTATCGAGTGATCATCGCCGTCATAGTTCTGAAAGATTAGAAGGTTTTATCGAGTCTTCCTTTATAATCCAGGAAATATGAAGTCAGCGTGCTATTTCCTAAGATTGGAATGTTACTGAATACCTGTACCTGCCAAAAGCTCTTCGTTCATATACGAACTGCTAGCGTAATGTTCTTCATGTTGCGTGTTTACAGCAGTCACCAGACGAACAACACGTGCAACGGCCCACGTGCCAAAGCCTCGATCAAAACAAGTAAATTCATTTCTGATCCGACCTATTATACTAATTATCACAGTAGCTAAGTAAGACGTCTCTCTGTACCTGCCCACACAATGTATCGCGCAGTACAAGTCAGCGAAGCAAAACTGGAATATTATTTGATATATCTGCCAGCAAAAGTAGTTTGATCTGTTTGTCTGTATATCAAACCAAAAAAAAAAAATATATATATATATATATATATATATATATATATATAGGCGTAATTATCTTTCTTAATATTTCAGTGACCCAAATTATTAATGTTCTGTTCGAATAATTCATGGAATAGTTTGGAAACGTTTCTTACACCAATTTTTTGCTGTGCTTTTTTACGGTGGTCAAATGTTATTTGTCTTTATGAAGTACTTTTAAAAAACTAAGTGAGTTCCCACCAGCAATTAGAAGTTGAACATGTTATGTCATTAATCGTCAACTTAGCAATGACTCCTTTCACTTTTGCTTCGGACAAATATTTAACCTAAATTCTAAACATAAAGAAGAAAACCTGATAATTATTAAACAGCCCAGTCGGTTAAATACAAAATGAGTAACTTTTGAAGTACATGCCGTTAACAAACAGAACCCGACTAGCGAATAATTCTAGCAGTATTCTAGGAATTTGTGCATAAAACCTGCTGAACTTACTTTAAAATGAATCAGTTCAAAACGACAAACAGCTAGTAGTCACGAAAATCAACATCTAGTATTCATTTTTTGTCCCTGAAGACCACAGCGTTGTGGAAATTCATCGAAAATTGGTGAAGAGATTAGGCAGACAGGCCTTAAGTGCAAAGAGCACATAAATGGTGAAAACCGGGGAATGTTGAAGGCCAAGGAAGAAAAAAATCAGATGTGAGGACTCAAAAAACAAAAATGTATTGACGCAATGGAGTAGGCTTCCCACAAAAGCAGATTTTAAAGTCTAAGTTGAGGGAACTGTCAGCCAAAGCTGGGATTTGACATGTTATTGAATCATAACCCAAACACAGAAAATACATCAACTGAATGAAAAATTTCCAGTGAAATATAGTTAAGTCAATTGGATATGCGTGTGATGTATTCCACGTTTAGTTTGCGAAGCTGTAATTAACAGCCCCCCCCGCCCCACGGAGCATGCAGTCGCCATGGTTCAATCTTTACCGCCAGTCGAAGAGGCACCAGGCAAGGAAATGGCGTTGCTTTGTATAAAAGTTGAAATAGATGGCAATGTTTAAACGTACGGTGATGGTGGCACTTGCAATAAACGTAACGGGCATTTGCTACTATGACATGCTCGCCAAAAATAAAACAATAAATGCAGACCTGCAATCTTAAATTCCCCGAGAGATACATCGACCGTTCGCACGGCAGTCCAAAGTACCCATTTGAACACACCCACAGCCGTGCCTCAATCACTTCGTAGATTGGGCAAAGGAATCTTGAACGTTGGCTTCAAACCGCTTAATCTCCCGACCAAAGTGACAACTGGTGAGCAAATAATATCGATACACTTCGAAAGGCCGTAGACAGAGAATTTACATATGTGAACGCGAACGGTAGATAAATGGCTGCCCAAAAGCTGCCAAAGACACTACGGAAAATTACAGTGAATGGTATAAAGATACGGGTCAAACTGTACTACGCGGATGACGACGTGTACGAGACGTCAGACGCACATTGGTCTATTGTGTCTTTTTTGACGGTTGTAGCCTCAAATTATTAGCGAATATGGCATTTCTTTAAGATCGTGGGTATTGTGCAGAAAACAATCATATTATTCAGTTTTGCCGCTACCATTATATATTGGAGCCAGAAAAAAGTTATGGGGTACCGTTGTCCTAATATTAGAAATGATTAGCTTGTTTCAAAACAGTTCTCGAGCTTTTAAATATTCTTCAATTCCAATCAATTTGTTTATATTAAGATTTCCATTTTTCATCTCTTAACCGTATATAAAATGTTCAAAATAATTATACTATTTATTCCTAACTAATGAGCATGCACACTAGTGCCTAAAATGGTCCTATATAAATGTGTTTAAGGTATTCGCTCGATATTAGAATAGCTTGGGTCTCACCCCTTTATTAAATATTGGAGGTAATTTAGCCAGCTCGTTCATCCCTAATTGTCTGAATGCTGATAAAATGACATTGACGGATTTTTACGGTAGTTTCATTAACCGGTTAAAGATAGTACTTTTCTATTACTTCGATTATATAATGCATCGGCAAAAAGTAACCTTGGCTAATCGTTTTCAAACTGCGCATTTCCAGAAATGCAAAATCCCTGAGGTAAAATTATTATCTATTTGAGCCGTAGCTGCTTAAAAAAAGTATACCTTCTTAATCCTTGTAGTCATAACATTGTACGTTTCCACTGTGTATTGTTTGAATTTATGGGATCACCCTTAGGCGTAAAAGACCAATGGAAATTAGAGATCTGAGCAGATTTTAAAACTGTTATAACATTGTAGTTAAAAAAAAAAAGGAAGGCATCTCTGGATATATTCATTTTTTGCTTGGTGATATGTTCTTAATAAGTAACCTTTCACCTATATTGAATTTGCCTAACAACGGGTATGAATGAGTATATGTTATATTGATGATACGCGGTATCGAAGACGCTTTAGGCTGACATTTGCTTGTCTTCTGTTAACCACTTACATGATACAGTAAGTTGGACACGGGTCGCTGACAGTAATTTCTAATGAATTATCATATAGAGGGTCGACATTTCCTTTATGCGTCGGCGTACCTTCTTTACTTGCAGACCGTTTAAGCAATTCAATAAAAACGTTACTTCTACCCAACTCTATGTAAAAATTCTGGTTTCATTTTGCCTGGATTGTTGTGCGAAAGCGTCATTCGCTGTTGAAGACTTTCTGAGAAGGAGCAGCGCGGAAACTTTTGTTTAAACTCCGTTAAAGTGGCATGGCTGTTCAATACTCGCAGTTACCGTGCCACTGTTCTCCAAAGTTGTTATATAGATTAATATCGGGTGGTAGACTGTGTCTTGTAAATCGAAATTTAATAGAACCTTCTTCTCACAACTGTACAAAGCTATACTGAATCAAAATTGGACGTTAAAGCTTATATCAGCATAACTTCATCCTGCATTCATAAAACAACAACAACAGATGCATACAAGTTTTTCGTTAGCTCGATATATAGGCTTGATTTCAGCAACCGATATTACGATGTGTTTCCTTCAAGAGGGAGCTGGTCCAGGTGATGCACTGCGCCGGACCAATCAGTGCGTGTGTCAGGTGGAAGAATCAAGAGAATAGTATAGCCTTTATCTGGCTTCGTCTGCTTAGAACAAACGAAACTAGAAAATTTGTTATCAATTCACTAGCTAAATAATCGTCTCCAGTACCTAGTCAGCTCCTCAACTACGTTCCCTAAATATAGTGTACTGATATAGTTTGCAAGGTTAGCGCCCATAAACGAATCAAGGGTTAATTAGACTATAAACATGATTCTGTCAGCCAGGCCCCTAACTACACATTGGAATGACGCGCATGTCATTTCAGCAAAGGTACCATTAAAGTAAGCTGGTCCTTTTTCAACTCTCGAGTTTCCGAATGATGTTAGAGCAAAAGACTTGGCCAGAATCACTAAGTTAATAGCAAAAAGCTCAACGTTGCCGATACTATAATGTAGGTATTTTACACCATATTCTGCATAAACTCAACAGTTATGGCTTTTCTGCGTAATTCTTTTCTCCTGTTGGCTTAAGCTTATCGATAAGCTTCTGTTAAGTATACATTCAAGTATCATAATGAACTAATATATATAATTTAATATCATTTCGTTATAGAATCATGAAGAGTGAATAGCTGCTTCGCCGCAAAACAATTTATATCCAATGTGTGCATGAAAAAAGGGTCAGACGAAAAAAGTATAAAACCTCGTTTTGTATGTGTAGCAACGCTACTGAACACTTGAATTTCATAATAATAATCATATTGTATAATCACTAGTACCTACTCCCATTTCGTGCAGAGCGTGAAATTTAAGGAAATCAATTTTTGGACAGAGCAATTTTTGTTCGACGAATGGTAATGGCATGCTACTCAGTGTTTGTAACGAATCGAGAAACAACTAGCACCAGGCTCGCTTGGCCTAATAAAGTGTTTTGCTTGTAATTATTTTTTCAGAAAACTCAAACCCTGAGACTTACACATTTTCTCCGCATGAGTATAATTCGGACAATTATTATTTAACATATAGGTGTACATGAATATAAAGTATATTAAACAAGGTGGCTCAGAGGCGAGGCGTATGGACGTTTCAAATGCTAATCTGAGGACTCCCATATAGTTTATAGATAAGCTAGCGTCACCCACTTCGTAGTACCCCCTGCGGACTCGCAGTTTTTGGTAAAAGCTGCACAAATCGTGATAATCAATGTGGTGTTTTCATGGGATTAAATTGTCCACCTGTCCTTTATAGGCCTCGGGGTGCGTTAAAAAACGTCGGGCCGATGTTCTCTATGTTGACGTTCGCTCTTGCAACAGGGCGCTGACGCTACTGAACGATCGTTCTGCAGTAGATTTTCAGTGAACAACGTAGAAGCGTGACACGTGTACCACACAGTGTTTCGTGAACCCCCTAGCAGGCGCCCATTAACGGATTAGCTTGAATTACTTTCTTTGGTATGGGCTGGGGTTACTTTGCTGAGACGCAATATGATACCGTAGGATTCATATTAAGGTTAAATACGACAATTACAGTCGTTAAACAAAGCCTTTTGGGGATCAAGCATATTGTGAGGGGGCGAGAAATCTCTTTTGAACTTTGTATCCTGGATGGCTATGCATTCTATCATAATTAGCTTAATTTTCAACTAACAAAGATAAGCAATGTGTTCGATTTTATACGTAGGCAAACATCCTGCCTGTCCACAAGATAAGATTTTGCAAAATTTCATCGCCCTAGCTTTTCCAAGCTCTAAACGTCGATTAAGTGATCTCAATGTCCGTGACTTGGTAGTCAACGTTGAGACCACGGAAAAGCTGGAATGATGAGATTGGTAAGCGATAAATGACTGACTTCTTTCAGTATATGAAGATGTATCTCGAGGACTTCACCTGGCACCTTACCAAAGCTTAACCTTTCTAATAAGGGCTTCCATAGTAAAGTCGCAAATGTGACTTCGAAATTAACGAACACAGAATAATAGAGAACGTATATGGTTCTGAATTTTGTTTAGTAAAATTGCGGATGCAGTCATCGGAAGCCTCTGGTTGCGAAGGTCATGTTGCTTTTCCACAGGTAGATTGATAAGATTCAAAAAATTCTTAAGGCGGGCTGTGAACATTCTGCGATGTAGTTTATATCACAGAATAGATCACAGTTTTAGAGTAAGGACCATAAAAGGTACTGAAATTGCAACTTAATGTTTCTAATTAGTTGCGTATAAAGCTTAATTATAGTGATCTTTGCAGGCAAAATAGGATATAAGTTTACATTACGTAGTGCTGTTCTTATCAACAGCCTCTTTTTTTTTTTAGAGAACTTCTATACGTTTGAGGACATGGGATCAGCCATTCTGTGGAAGTATAATTCTATTATTATCGTAGGAAGGAGTACCACGATAGCCTCTCCCGGGATCTGAGTTCGTCGATCTGCAATGAATTTGATGACTAGTAACCTATTAAGTGTAGCTGTTTGCTGCACTTATTAGGTTACTAGACCTGCACCCGAAGCTGTCAGACCCTGTTAAACTTCACTATTTGTGACAAACAAGTATGTCTATGATGAAATGATCCTGCTGATCAGTGAATGTATGCACATTTTGACTGGACTCAGTCCAAAAGCCTTGAAAAAATAGAATAGCCATTAAAAACATAATATATTTTTAATAATCTTTTATTATAACATATTTTTAATAATCCGTTTATTAATTTACGAAGAAGATAGTCTATGTGCGACAAACGAACCTCTTTGAGTTCGACTTCGGTTACCTTTGACTTTTAAATAAATCCCTCTCATTGCCCGGCAATTCATGAAAAATAGATTCCTGAGCTACGCGTTTACCAAAACATAGGTAATTATAAAAGACAACCTGGACACAGAAAAAGAATCACAGCTCTATGCAAAATACACAACGATATTGATGCAATTGAATAGGTTTTTTTACAGTACAGCATTTAAGAGATGCTTTTCCAGCATGATCTTCTGCGCTTCAGCTACTAAGACAGTAATGTTTAAATAATTTTATCTGTTTGTGGGTCTTCGTAATGACCATACGGCACAAAGGTCCATATGGTCGTTACGCAATTTCTGCTTGGACATATGACCATGTGCGTGACTTTATGCCTGCATTAGCTATTTGGCAGTCAAAAAGTTCGTGAGAAACTTCCTGATAATATTTCCTGTTTCACCTGACGCTGGGACATGGTGTCCACCATCATATTCGAAGATCTCTGGATTTTTGAATAATCGACTAAATGCGCGGGCCCTTTCCGGAGATATTACCTGTAATAAATTGCGAAATGTTCAGATTGACTTGAATTTCAAGTGTTATGTAAATTCATATGAACCCAGGTCTTTTGTATAAACTAATATTTGTCTTTTATTACAGAATAAATGGTTCCGAACAGTTAAAGGGTACATGATTTCATACATTTTGTAAATATCTTAATTTCACAAAAAGCAATAATTAGGTATAATCTATATTACGAAAATAGCTACTTCTAAGAAGCGATAGAAGTATAATTAGTTCTCCGCAATCTAAAATGGCTATCGACATATAATTTAAAGTTATTATCATCTCATTAATGTAAATTTCACCATGTGCTAGACATTTTGTCAATTGATTTCTTAAATTTTATTAAGCCATTGGTCCTGATGGTATCAATATGTTCCACAAACTAAATTCACACGCTTCTCACGTACTATTTCGGGAACTGCTCTAAGCTGTTACTGAAATGCGACATTCGGTAATTTCGCTTACGAAATATAGTGCATACCACTTGTTTAGATGCCTAAGTATACAGCTTATGGAAGTTCTGCAGCATTTGCTCTCAACAGGATCGTTTCAGTTGCTTTCAAATTTTATGCACAATACAAAAACGGACAATCATCAAAAGTTTCAGCACTGATATTCAGAAAAATGGTAATTAAACATTAAATAAAAACAACGTTTCAATAGGCCTACTCTACCTACTCAACGAAATAGTTTTTACGTACTAACAAACCTGATCCGTTTTTCCAATAAGATGAAGGCTTGGAATTTCTATTGGCGTGGCAACTTGATGACTTCGTGGTTCGACACCGCAAACGCACACAATAAACCTAAAGTTGACCCGAGGGTTCAGTTTATACGTGGGATGAGGTTTTTCAAGAAAATGTAGAAGAAGACATGCTAAGGAAGCTCCCTGGAAACAAGCGCGATCAAATCATTGGAACATTATAATACCGAATCTCAGGCGTATTAGAATAGAAACATTGAGTAATTATTTATTACGAGCATATTCCGATCCGGCGTTATTAGAGTTAAGTAGAATTAAAATAAAATGTTGGGTGCTTAGCAGATGTCAAGGGATATACGCAGAGAAGGTCGGCTGTTGCCTGTGCCAACGAACGTAATTCAAATCTCTTGTGTAACTCAATTTGACCTAAACTAAGCAGATTTTAAAAAAATTTGAGCTAAAACATATCTAACCTGGGAGAAGGCGAAAATTCCGTCAAATGGGCCCTCTTTCACGACAGCATCACCTATAGCATCTAACGAGCTTTGCAAGCCTAAAGACAAGTAAAAGAGAACACACAAACAAAATTGAAAATAAGTTGAGCTGGAACAAGTTTAACTGGCGTGAATGCAAAGATATACCATCATATTTAGCTAATTACTCATGACAGTGCTTTTAAATAAATCTAGACACAGCTATGCTCAATAACTATATTGTTGTGTCTGGCTTCGAAATACCTAGACATAACGAATGGAGGTATTTGTTATTTTACAGGACACTTTTAACATAAAAACGTTCCATTTTTAAGTTTTTAAGCTCGATAAACACCTGGCAACAAACCGAAATTTAATTGATATATAATTTAATTGATTATAGACATAATTATATAGAATAATAATAATACTGACAGTTTGATTGTTAATACGTGCTCCACTTCTGCCAATAGTTCGCACGAAATAGCAGTGATCGTCGGCATAGTGTCTCAGAGGATATATATAAAAGCCATGTATATAGCCTGGATAGACAACAAGTCGCGTATTCGATTCCCCATTACGTTACACGTCTATTAAATACATTTTTTTGTATTACGTTCCACAAGTACTACCCTTAACAGACTTATGACAGGCGCTCATGATGCGAACTACTGTTCTGCGAAATTAGTTAGATACGCTGGAGCTAACGCAGCATCTTGTAATATCGATAACTCCTGAGGGCATTGTGCAATGTATACGCATTGATTTCTGATCAATAAGAATTAGTGATTTCGATACATAGTACATAATGAGTCCTCCAAGTGTACCTGTTGGATCTTCAGGCGAATCTGACGCGGAAGCTTCTACATTTTCGTATAGCCAGCCTCGTTTCTTAGAGTCTCCATCAATGATCAATGGAGCATCTATAATCACGTAGTCAGCAAGAGATTTGGTTTTCTGTCGAAAAGCTCCACATTTCGAGCGGAAGCTAGCAGCATCTTGCTGATATCCATGCAAAGCTAAGATACGCAACTTCTGTCCCGACATCGAGAAAGTACGTTTGATTTAAGTGGCCTAAATAAATTCCCAACTACAAACAAGAAGGCAATTACCTTGTAGGGTTTTGTAAAGCGTTGTAGTGAATAAAGTGGTAAATAAAATTCAAAAGATCGAAAAGACCCGTGCATTCCGTTTTAAAAATATCTTATGCCAGATAAAATTGCTGCTAAATATATCCGTACGGCGTCTACAAAATGCAGTCAAAGTCCCCAGATAATCAGCACTAGCCTATTTCTATATTTCATAAAAGTTTTTCCAAAGGCAAAGTTGTCTCAGTTCAGCTTTACTTATTCATCCAAAAAGGTTGTTGCGCCTCTATCTTTTTAAAATAAAAAAAATTCTTATTAAAATATGTCAAATGTTCAGTTTTCCCCGTTAAACTATAAAAATAACAAGCACCGCACTCAATCATGGCTCGGCCACTGCTTCTGGTTGATTTTCATTGGTCAAAGAAATGTACCGAACTCATACTATGATACGAATTACAACTACTTCACATTAATTGTCATATAATCTTATCTAACCGGAAGGGTATTTTGGAAAAAGTAACAACTTTTATTGACTTTAGGGAAGTTGGGTTAAATAGAACGTTGTTGGGTTAATAAAGACGTTACATGTTTCTGCAGAATATTTTATTCGAAGTAAATTTTGTAGGTATCATAAGGTCTAGAAAATATAAAATGTGCGCGATAATTTCAGAATTTGAACTGTCGATCTGCAGCTTGCTGTATTTAGTTTAAAGCTGAAATTAAGATATGTCAAATTATGTTCTTACGCTATTTAGTATCCGGTCTATTCTTGCCCAACATCAAGCGTAATAATGATTATTTTTCAACATCATTATGGTCAACACAGAAACGCGTGTTTACACACAGTATCTTCTTCGACACCAAGCTACAAATATTTTTAATTTTCGCTCCATCCTGTGTGGGGCACTTGACCAGCTATGAGATGGCGCTGCAGCTCCTCATGGGTTAGTGGTTACCGGCAGCCTGCTCGTGCCCTACAAACAGCTCTGCCTACGCCGTATCGCTCATTCGCGCAATCTAAATCGAGATTTAAAGCTTTAATAAAGTGAGCCATGTAATTTCGTTTATTTGCGAAATTGTGGGCCGATTTTTTCAAAAAAGTCACATAATGACTGCTTCGATCGGTAAGTTCCAACCCTTTATTGTTCAGTCTAGCGGTGTCTGTGTTCCGCTGTCGGTTGCGGTTCGCGTTCGATTGTTTTGTCAACATGTAACGTACGGTCCGGCTGATCTCTCTCCCTCCCATCGAGCGAGTGGAGCTTTGAGTTAATTTAACACGGGCGTGCTGCGCTTTGTTGGCAGGCGGCAATTCGCCCGATCTGTCAGTGTTGCACGAAGCTTTGGTGGGTGGTCTTCCCTTCATTGAGAGCTGCTGTTGCATCCTGGGCAACGCCATCCACGAAAAATGGGTGTGCTATCAAACGGCAGTCCAATTGTAATCGGCCCGCTCGAGTACAAACGTCACTCATGGTGGGCGCGTATGAATCCCGACAAACAGGAGACTATGCTCAAGTTGTTGATACTATCCACGGCATGTATATTGTCATTCTCATGTCGATTATTCAGCGTACTACGATTTGAAAGTGTTATTCACGAATTTGATCCATACTTTAATTATCGAACAACGCAGTTCCTTTCGGATAATGGCTTCTACGCTTTCCACAATTGGTTCGACGACCGGGCTTGGTACCCCCTGGGGCGCATCATTGGGGGTACCATCTATCCCGGTCTGATGGTCACATCAGCGGCTATCTACTATGTGCTTAACGCGTTGAACATCACCGTCGATGTGCGAAACGTATGCGTGTTTCTGGCGCCAGCGTTTTCGTCGCTCACGACGCTCGTGACGTATCTGTTAACGAAAGAACTTGCTGACAGTGGTAGTGGATTGGTTGCCGCCGCAATGATCTCGATTGTTCCGGGCTATATTTCGCGGTCGGTGGCGGGCTCATATGATAACGAGGGAATTGCAATATTCTGTATGCTATTAACGTACTACTTATGGGTGAAGTCAGTGAAAACCGGATCTGTTCTTGTTTCGTCGGCGTGCGCTCTCGCCTATTTTTACATGGTTTCTTCGTGGGGGGGCTACGTCTTCCTCATCAACCTAATTCCACTTCATGTGCTGACGCTCATGCTAACCGGGCGCTTTAGCCACCGAATCTACACGGCATACTCCATTGTATACTGCCTCGGGACACTTTTGTCGATGCAAATACCATTTGTCGGTTTTCAGCCGGTACAATCATCAGAGCACATGGCCGCCCTAGGCGTGTTTGGTCTTTGTCAACTTTACGCTTTCCACGAATATCTACAGTCAAAGCTGTCCAAAGAGCATTTTGAGGTGCTCTTCCGTGCCGTAGTTCTCGTTGCGATGGCTACTACAGGAACAGGGATTGTCATAGCGACGGCGCTGGGCAAAATCGCGCCGTGGACTGGACGGTTCTACTCGCTGCTGGACCCCTCATACGCAAAAAACAACATCCCAATTATCGCCTCAGTGTCTGAGCACCAGCCAACAGCATGGTCATCCTTCTATTTCGATCTTCAACTGCTCTGTTTCCTGTTTCCTGTTGGAATGTACTTTTGCTTCAAGAAAATTACAGATGCAAATATATTTATCATTCTCTATGGAGTGACATCGATCTATTTTGCTGGAGTGATGGTTCGACTCATGCTGGTATTGGCACCGGTCATGTGCATTCTTGGCGGGATAGGCATGTCCAACATGCTCGTCAATTACACTAAGCTCATGTGCAATAAGACAGACAAGAAAACTAAGAAAAGTAAGTTTACATATACTTCTTATAGAGACTTCATATAACACATTTCACTATTTTTTTTCATTTTACTTATAACAATCATTGTCTTTGATTGTAAATATTCACAAATTGCAAATTTTATATCTTTAAATTTAAGCCCATTAGTGATACTAGCTCCCTAATCTAGTTCTTTAAAGCAAAATCTAATGCCATTCTTTGATTTATGCCTTGCATTTTAAAATCTCCTTCCAGTGGAAGGACCAAGCCCTCTACCGAAGGAGAAGATCGGCCAAGCGTTCATCATTATCATGGCTGTCTTCATGATCTCCTATGCTCTTCACTGCACGTGGGTAACATCAGAGGCATACTCGAGTCCATCTATAGTGCTCTCGGCCCGAGCTCACGATGGTTCGCGGATTATCTTCGACGACTTCCGTGAAGCTTACTACTGGCTGAGGCAAAATACGCCCGAAAACTCCAAAGTAATGTCGTGGTGGGATTACGGTTATCAGATAACAGCTATGGCTAATCGGACTATTCTAGTTGACAACAATACATGGAATAATACCCACATTTCACGCGTTGGCCAGGCAATGGCTTCAGACGAAAGGACGGCATACGAAATTATGCGTGAACTTGATGTCGACTATGTTCTTGTAATTTTCGGCGGTCTCTCAGGTTATAGCTCTGACGACATCAACAAATTTCTTTGGATGGTTCGCATTGGTGGGTCGACGGAGAAGGGTCGCCATATCAAAGAACAAGACTACTACACACCATCAGGCGAATTCCGCGTCGATAAGGATGGCTCGCCAACACTTCTCAATTGCCTCATGTACAAGTTATGCTACTATCGATTCGGCTCGGCGTACACTGAGGGAGGAAAGCCGGCCGGATATGACCGGGTTAGAAATGCCGAGATCGGAAACAAAGATTTTGAACTTGAGGTGCTTGAAGAAGCGTACACGACTGAGCACTGGCTTGTCAGGATCTACAAGGTCAAAGATCTACCTAATCGGGGTGTAATGTAGCGCTGATGTCGTTGAGTATATCGTTACGAACTGAAGTCAGTTAAACGTGACATACTAAAACCTCGCGTTAGGGCTTATGAAAGGGCATCTTGTAAATTGTATTAAGTCGTTGAAATATAAACTTGTAGCAAGCTTTTGTGATAATATTTCTGTTAGTTCTCTTAAAGGAGTCGAATAAAGATCTTTCTGACACCGAGTAAAACAAATGTCGCTGTCAAGTAATTACGTGTGTTTATCGTTCATCGTCGTGTATTTTTGTTGTTCAAAGGCGGGCAAACAAGCTCTATTAAAATGACGTACAACTCGTATTGGACAAGCATGAAGTTAAAAATGAATGTTTTTTACATTGTATAGAAAACTATTCTAGACACAAATGCCACTGTACGAAGCTGAACAAAGTTGACTTTTTAATTTCTTAATGAAGTACACTTTCAGTCGTCAGAACGAGCGATCGGTATTAATCACGACGTGAAGAAACTTGCGTAAATGAACATTAATGTCTAGCAGAGGAAATACCAGGACAGTTTTATATTACGCGATCTTCTTTGAATTTTTAGTGCTGGCAAACATCAACCGCGTCATCGAGACTAGGAATACCATCAGCTAAGCCAGTTAATATTTATGAACACTGAACAAATGTATCATAAGTCGAAAATTATATTTTTATTGCCTTGTACATTCGGTAAGCAAGAAAAGGGAGAGAGGTGCCCTCTCTCCCTTTTCTTGCGTGGTCCAGTAATCATACAATCATGATCCAGTAAACTATGCGAATAACTACGGTGTTGAATAGTCAGCTACTAACTTTAATTATTCGTGTTACCTGAACGTTTCAGTTCTAAATTAACAAAGAAAACTAAATCAAGGATGAATTCGATGTGTAGCCAGGATGGAAAAAATGGAATGAATGATTATGAATAATAAAGTGATTATAAATATAGATATTAAATAAGTATGTAGATAAGAGGAATGCTGTCGGGGGCGTTACAAATGTCGAAGGCAGCAATACGAAACGAAGAACGAGGGTGAAGGTATAATTTAATAAATTTGCCAACCAAAGACAAACAAAAACAGGCATTGTTATATTCCTAGATAATTGACTCGTATGATATTTTGATGTGAGTCGCTTTGAAACTTACATTTCATAATGAATAAAGGCAGGCAACCAAATTCTCGTTGAGTAAAAAGCTATTGGCTCAGTCGTGGCTGGGAGACTTATGAGTCTCTGCTATGTTTAGGTACGTGCGTTTCATGGGTGCACAAATGGAAGTAACAGAATTCATAAACAATTTTAGTACACCCTAGGGTCAATAATATGTACTGTGGCATTACACTACCCGAAAACGCGCCTTTCTGGCTCCTCTAGCCATATCAATTAAGAGTCCACGGCGAGGCAGCCAAAGTAAAAAAATGGAACGGCAGCAAAACTTCGCTGGACTGCGAACTAGCTCATTAAAGCACATTGTATATATTTACACCGCGTGCCTCGAAAAATGGCATTATCTTATAAATTATGCTTTTTTTTCATCTATCGTTTAAATATTTGCAGAAAATACAATTCACTTTTTGATATAAATAAATACAATATAAATTTATCATATTTTATAGGATCGTATGTAGATACATTGTATGATCAAAAACTTTCATAGGTTTCTCTATAAAATTATTATAAAGAGCCACTTATTATCTTCATTCTTTGTTCGTCGTTAGGTAACCCATAAAGGCCTTCACGAAAGCATTAACCCGAACCCTAATCAGATATAGTCTGAAGTTGGTAGACACATTGTCTATCACGTATTACGACTATCTAGTTGGCGAAGCTTCAAACCCCAATGTTAAGCTATCGTTTGCATACTAATAACTCCAGATTTTAAAAGTTTTAAGGGAACAACAACAGAATTTGCATCTTTGCGCAAACTAGCGTAACTTTCGATGGGATAGAAGAAGGTCTAACACAAATTAGCTTACCAACTAGGCAAGCTAAACATTAATTTGTTTTACGTAGTTCATTTCGTATCTGGTTATTGCGTGCAGCAATAATAATTTCATAGTAAGCGCTGACATTATCTTTGAAGACTGCGTTTCGTTTTTACTTCCACTTACTGTGGTCTGTTTCTACCTTAGTTACTGTAGTATCAGAACGTTGCACCTGGAGCCATAATTCAATCAATATTATCGTCAATATGGAATTCGCATATCCACAAAAGCTGGAGGTGCAACGATGAAAACGTCTGAATTATGCCTCATAAAGAATTATGTAACATCGTTACGGCTTCTTTTGTTGATAATATGCTATGATACACATAGAAAACTAATAATGTATATGTATACACTTATGAATATTGCGGTTTGAATATATTGCTCTATAGGTGGCTTGGCTTGCTTGCTTGCTTGAAAAGGTTTTATGATTCGACTTCTTGCTAAACGTACGTAGATACTAATACTAAATTTTTTCTGTCAAACATATTTATCTTACATTTGATTACTTACGATTCTTGTCACTGCTAGGAGAAAGAAAGCATGACAGTAAGTAGGTGTCAAAACGAACAGCTTTATCCCCACGCAGATGGCACAATCATGTGAATAACTATAATAGACATAGGCTAAGGTGTATCCTTGTTGGTGCATTAATAAATAAAAACATAAATAAAACCTCTAAACCTCCTTACTGACCCGAAAATGTTTGCTTTCTTTCAAGATATCTTGCATTTTCGTATTTTTTTTTTTCAATTTTGTAAAAGAACTGACATGCATGTTTCATATGCCCTTTCCTTTCTCTATCGTTTTATTTTTATTCGGCAACAACGAAGCAACGCGCCTCAAGTGCCTGTAGAGAAATCAATGCCTGAACTTGAAAAGCCTACAAGACTTGTGGCCGGCCCCAGGTTAATGACATCTAATCACAATGTTTATATTACTTCGAAAATAATAATTCGCGTTATATACCATTAGTCTATAATTTCATATAATCCGTTATTCGTGTCTACGATTCCAAAGCAGCTCGCTATTCTATGTTATTAATGAATTCTCAATTCAACTACTGAAATCAGTTGTTGTGCGCATACTTCGAGCCACTTTCCTGTCTATCGCAGTGTTTATGCTGTTTACATGGCTAGCGGTTGGAGCACTATTGTTCAAGCTTCTCCTCCTTGTCTCCGCCCTCTCCTTTTTACGGAGAGAGGGAATCATACAGATATGTTTTGTGTCGAAGCACGCATATGGATGTTGCTTGATGTGTTCTGGATCATGACAGCATAAGGGACACTGAAGCGATACTTTTTTACGGTCTTCTGGTGTGACACTGAGCATCGCCCGTCGCCCTTATCTTTGGTCAGCAAAAAGCTGTCTGCTGCTGATATTTATTGGCTGTACAACTAGGAAGTGTCAATCATGCACACTGCTTTCTCTCAACAGCTGCAGTAGTAACGATTATTTGCTTACACCCTGGTACTGTTGCTAGCCAAATGGCCGTGGTTCGTCAATTTCTTTCCTACAGTATGTTGTTTATTACGGCACAGCTATTTGCACCAGCTGACTGTTAACGGATCTAAAGACAGCCTGTTCAAAGTCAGTATTGGACACTGAGCTGCGATAACTTTGTCTGACTTTTTGTGAGTTCATGTTAGTGTAAGGACTATATGCGTTTGTGTCACCTTAGATCGGAAAGTGACTGATCGAAGTCATTAAATGTTACAATATAACAGATGTTGTGTGCGACTATAAATAATTCCACGCTCAAGATCTGCCAGGCTGTGTCCTACTACGGCACGTTGGTTGTGCCGATAAGGAATCGCGACCGTTTTGCCGTACCTCTTTCACTTAATATTATTGAGTATAATGTTGTGGTAATATTTCTCTAGCTACATAAATCAGGCTTTGTTATTTTTTTAAATATTAAACTGTCGAAGGGAGTACAGGTGCACATTGAAGGGGCTCAGTTGGTCCATGTTAGTCGTTACCTGCAATACACACGAGGCAAGATACGAAATGTTAATTGAAACGCTTTTGTGGCCATACGCTGACATAACGTTAACATCTCGTTAAAAAAACATATGGTTAGTAACTATGTTGCTACCCAAATTTACTGTCTTCACAAAGTAAAAGAAATATAATACTTTTTCAAATTAGGCTTATTTTTATATTTTAACTGGACAATTCATTCTTTCGTTTTCGGTTATATGCCCAGTATAAAATTTTGCTGAAGTGATCATTTATGATTCAACACAAAAACTCATGCCTCCAAAGATCCACTTGACAAAAATGTTAGATTTCCATTCTAACTGGCCAATAAACGTTCGAGATTTGAAACGTGCAGTTTTGCATAGTGTAGTCAGTATTTAATGTCCCTGATCAGATATAAAAATAAATTTGATTATTTCGTGACAAAGACAAAAACATGATTTTTGTCTTCAATGTTCGGTCTGCAGTCGGTTTTTTTTATCGTCTATAATTTTACACTTTCTGTATCAGTACTGAAAAGGGCTGGGCGTTACCAGTCGTATGCCTTCATTTAATATATATTGATCATTTATATCATTAATAACAAGCACAATTGGAGCTGTAATAACAATAATATTAATAATCGTAGTCATCATCATTGTAATTACCACGTGACTGGATAGTGAAGTAACATTCCAACGCGACAGATCCGTCAGATATCTCTTAAGCTCTGAGATAAGCCATAATCGAAGTTACATCGACATTTATAATAAAATAGGAAACGTCCCTTAATTGGGGAATAATGTGTCGGTCTATCTTTGGCAAGAGGTGCCACTGATGATGCTGACCCGCTGTCGTTGATTATTGCTTTTGGTACGCCAGTAAACTAATACTTCCACTTGTATACGGCTGTCCGACTTTGAAGGAAAAGCCCAAAACCTCTGGGGAACCCTTAGGTACTCATCATTTTGCTTCTTTTTGGTCGTGTGAACCCTAGAATTTTCGTAGCGATGTCAAGAAAACCGGTACTCCAGACAAAGAGTTCTCTAAAGGTAAAAAGTTTTTCTCTCGTAGTGCCTCAGGTTACTATCACCTTATCAGTACTATCCAAGTTAATTTCTAATTCAGTGACTTTAACAAATATAAATTTGATTTCCCATGTGTCAAAAAGTTAAGTCTCAATCATTGCAATTGTGAATCAACATCGAAGTACATTATAAAGAAGCCAAATATGTTGTGGCTCTTCAATTGAAAAAAAAAAGCCAAAATCAACTGAAACTATTTAATCTGTTTCACGCTGCCGCATCCATTGGAAGCCCTCCCACCCGAAATTCTCTACGGTTCTCAATTTCGTACATTCTACAGTAAAATAATGGCTTACGACAGTAAATCCGGCTGCTTCTACGTGCAAGTCCTATTTTCCTTTTTGGTCGTATCAAGTCACTGTATTATATGACATAATGTGCAGAATTTTCTTTTCTTTAACGAGGGCAACTAAGCGACCAAATTCAACAATCGTGCTCAACCTAAGTCATGGACAACTCAGGCCGAAATCCAAGAATAATTTGGGACTATGCTCCTTATATGAAGAAACGAAGTAGAAGGAATCTGCGCGCATCGATCTTTAATTTAAATTCAGCAAATCTTGATCCTTGCATAATACCAGTTACACCATCGGAGCTCTTGTGTTTGCTCCTTGAATATCTATTTTGACCGCTGTGAATTAAGCTGCTGAACATGAGCACAGCGCAGCCCGAAGACGACCGCAGTGGTGTGCAAACGGACGATTGGACGTTTCATGAAATGTTTAGATTTTAGACAGAATCAAACCACTATTTAGCAAAGAAGGCGTACAAACGAAAGGTATAATACCGTTAGCAGTGACGCCTAAAATGATGGAAGTGCATTATTTCATGTATATGGAGCCAAATCTCGAGTCTCCTTTGGCCAAGGCATTTGATGTAATTATTCAAAGCCTTCCCAACGTATAGCTTATGATAAGAGCTATTTTTAGATTTATCTTGTGTTCGAAGAGTCCGCTGACTCAGCTTACAGGATAAGGTACCTTCGTATACGTCTTCTTGTACATGTGTTTACATTGTCTTTTTAACATTTCTACTGGGCTTTCTAGCAACTCTAGAATCATTTTCGTGTATCCGTTTAGGTTACTATGATTATTAGGTCCTACTCAGCGATGTTGGAAACTAAGCTGCCTTCGGGTGATGTGGTAGGGGTAAAGGATTTGCGTAGCCTTTGAAAGAACACGTGCCAAAATGTTTGCATAGATTTCCATGATTTTAGGATTTATGTGTAAGCTTCGTTTGCCACCTGCATTTAAACAGCTACATCCGAACAAGACCTACACGATTAGTATCCGGCACTATGGAATGATGATATTATGGAATTTGGCGTTTACCATTCATATTGCTAATATGATGATATTGCTGCGGTAGCATTAGTTTTAAGCCTAGCGAGCCATTTCGTCAATATTTAAACCTCTTGCGACGCTGCGAACAGAGTCACTCAATTATGCAACCGCATGGTTGAATAACTCGACAAGTTTCTAGAAAAGCGATGAGTATTTGGTTTGAATTACTCATTACGATTGCCAATAGAGCACGAGTAGTTTTGTTTACTGGCAATGGGTGACGATTTTACATCACATCAAACCGATGCTTTTGTATACTCTGCAACGCTACGAAAATTATCGATTCCGTTGTGAATGGCCAGAACTATCCGGCTTAATAAACCGACCGATTGTCCTTTTTATAATGACAAACAAACTTTAGAAATTATTAGAAAGATGTGAATAATGTATCGTTAGAATAGGCATGTTTGGCAAAATAGGCCTTATTCCGTCCGGCTTAACATACCTAATACGAAGACCTGCTGCAACAACGTCAGAGCCGGTGAAATATTTCCTGCTATCAACTCTAGCATTGTTTCCGCCAAGAAAATTTAAATTTCGATGGGAGCTGCGTTTAAGCACTTACTAACTTACACGTACGGGATAACGCTTCTACATTTGTTTATTATTAGCATTAACAGAGTGCGCGATCCGTTCGTTGACTGAACTAAAGAGGAAGTAGCATCGCCTGTGACCCCTACAAATTGCTGAACATCGAACTCTTCATCGAACATTGCTTGCTTTTGAATTGCAATTTTAGCAAAAGACAAAAATTCGTCATAGAAGTTAACGAGCCTTTTCTTTTTTTCTCTTGTATATGCTAACAGCTCAGCAAAAGCGGGTAGGAATTAAGTGGAATGATCCGGATGTTGTGGCAGGGGGGAGTTCTATCTATATGATCCTATTGCCTAATGCTCGTCTCGTGGTGGCGACTAAACCTGGTCTCGAGCTTTGGCAGTAATCCGTCTCTGTTTAAATGGCTGTCCACAGCCCCATCTTAGTGTGTTTGAGAGTCGTCCAGTTGCCACCAATTAAAAGTTACGAATTGAGCGAGCCGTTGCATCGTTTGATCTCAGTTGAATATGAATTATGATTAGAAGTCGCCAAACCATCGTTCCCCCACGTCATGTTACTGCCTGACTGGACTAACCGATCTACTTTGTTTCTCCTATTATTTAAGCGTGAACGTTTAGCACAAGAGGAGCTATGAAGATCTTCGTTGGAATCGAGGGTGGAGCTTCGTGTTCTAAGTCTATTTTAGTCCAGGAGAACGGCACTGTATTAGCGAAAGCAAGCGGCCTGTCACTAAACTATCTCCTGGATGGGATCGATGTTGTTTTCAAAAGAATCATAGATCATATCAACGAGTTGAAAAAAGGCTCGGCCATTGAGCTACATACAACAATCGCCAGTATTGGATTGTGTATGAGCGGCTGTGAAGACGAATCGGCGAATCGCAGATTTGAGAAGAAGTTTCTTGAAACATATCCAGAAATTGCTGGTAAGTTAACTTGTTCGACTAAGCTTTCATTTTAATGCATAGCGCAAGGCTGGAGCTCTCCAAACAAATCGATAATGGTCATGTTATCAATGACGAGCGAGCTGCGCGCTAACTAGACACAAGGCCCTGATTCTTTCTTGAGCATGCCTGAATATCGTAGATTCCAATCCGATTTTAAAGAGCAAAAGAAATTTGCTTAATAGATATTGTAGTCTGTTCCGTAAAAAAGTTTGCGCCGTCTAGAAATAGCTAAAGCAACAATGGAGAATTATAACCTTACTTGCAGACTGTTCCCTGATTTGCATATATATTAACGGGTATAATACGCTTTTGAAAGGATGCTTTAATGCCATATTTGGGTTGCAATATCTAAACTGGTTGACGTGGAATTATCGGAACGTGCAATATCCTCCTCTAACTTGATAGAGTTCAAGTTTATGCTAATAGAAATGTGCGAACTCAGTTCAGTTATATTCAGCGGTCAAGTATAAACCGTTCTAGCTCAGTAATGGCTACTCCAAAAAACAAAAACTACGTGTCGATACCTACCAGATAACTGTGAAATCGACAAAATGGCCCTGCTATGACGTGTGACGGTAGCTGCCATGATCAACACTAAAGTTTATGCTTCTTTTTTGCTTGACCTTTCGTGTCGCCGTCCTAAGCGAGCTATTCCACGTCACTCGCAGTGTCGCCCGTTAAGGTGCATCGGCAGTGATAGCATTTTCACAAAGCTTCTCGTCATCTGCTCTCCATAGCCTCGTTTCCACGCACAATTCCTAAAGAATTATCATTACATCATTTCGCTTATCCATCAGGGATGCACATTACTCATTATTTCACATGCAGGTATCAAACAAAATTTCACCCATGTCCTAACTCGACCATCATTGTATCAAACAAGAACATGACGTTACCAGAAGGACAAGTAAGTAAAACAGTCACTATTCTAAATCTGTGGTCAAGCTATATATCGTCCGTTCTGGACGAGTTTTTTCGCGAGTGCCTGCTCGAAGCAAAGAATACGCATTTACGAAATTGGCTCAATAGGATAAAATTCGCCCGACTGAAAATACTCTACGTTGCGTTGCTTCGAAAGACGATCAGTTATCAAAAATAAATGAAATTTGTGCTTTATTCTTTCATATCATTGGTACACCGCAAACGAATGGTAGAATTATAGCATTTACCATGTCAATGCTATTCTACAGCGATGTACCATCATTGTTAGGGTAACTTTAACAAACACGTTCATTAATCTTCTTCTTTGTGTATAATTTTTAATCGATATAAATGCCTATTGGCTAGTTAGAGCTAACTGTAGCCTTTCATTGAACTTAGATCTTCTCCTGGCAAGACAGCTTAACTACACCGATTCTATCCACCACCTGATACCGAAAGCGTCATTCGTTTGTGTAGAAACTCTTCAAAGCTCTACTCTAAATAGTACTGTACTTGTAAATAGTTACGTCACACCGCTTTGTGACTATTCAATGGGGCAATTCTTTAAGCCTCGCACACGGTTGTGGGTGGGCTCTGCGATAGAAAAAAACCGATTATATATAGGTTTCCTTGGTAGTTTGTCGACTCTGTGCGGGTTTGACGTACACTGAGGAAACGATTTGCATGATTCTACGAAACTAATGTTACAATCGTTAGCCGCACGGTTCATTAAGACGATTCGAATGTTTTTTGTAGCTTATAAAATAATAAATTTATTTTCAGAATTTTGCAAAATCCTTTTCGTTGACCCTTGAAGTTTCGTGTATGCATTTCATAAAAGGCCTTTTTTTCCGTGAGAATTAGACCTTGTGTCGGCCCTGCAATGAATCGTCGCCTCTTAAATAGCCTCATTTCATGTGTCAATTTTAGAGTCAGTTACTGTTGCATCCGATGTGATTGGCTCAATCAAAACCTGCGTTCCGGATGGCGCATTAGTTCTCATATCCGGCACAGGGTCCAATTGCTTCCTTCTCAACCCTGATGGCAGCCAAGCTCGCTGCGGTGGCTGGGGACATCTTTTAGGTGACGAAGGCTCTGGATATATGATCGCTCACCGGGGTATCAAGGTAAACGCCAAAAGGCAGTGTTCAATGAAGAGTCCAACTTGCTTTTGTACTGCTTCTATCACCCACTGCAATTTAAAATATGTTCCCTGACAGCATGTCGCAGTAAACCAACGCCCGTCGCTATTTAATATGGACCTGCTAGGTTAACACTGATTCGGTTCGATAAAAATAGAAGTTTTATGGTTCGAAAGTGGACGTAGTCACGTGAAGCTGCTTTTATAATAAGCAATACAAGAGACAAGAATCATAATTTGATTGTACGATGTATACATTGCACATTTATTTACATTTAAATAAAGGTTAATGTAAGCCCTTACGATCTACGAAGGGTCTAATGGAGTAAGCTCGGCCAGATTATTGTTAAAATACTGAGATTAGAGACTGAATAATATGAATTTTGTATAATCTCTTATTACGAAAAAGTAGTTAACTTTTTCTCTGGCATTTTAATTAAACCAATATTATAACTTACGAAGCACATGTATTTTTATTATTTACAGACAATTATCGATCATGATGACAATTTGCGGAGGAGTCCTTACGACATAGAACCCCTACGTAAACTTGTGTACGATTACTTCAAAATTTCAAGCAATTCAGAGCTGCTGCCTATTTTTTACATTCACTTCAAGAAATCGTACGTGGCAGGACTTGCTGAGAAGGTGGCCGACTTGGCAAGATCTGGTGACGCATTGTGTAAAGCTCTTTTCCATTCTTTAGGCGTCGATTTGGCTGAATGCGTAAAGGCCGTAAGAGCAAAGATTTTCAGGGACTTCTTTATCAGAAAAGGAGGACTGCCAATCATTTGTGTAGGATCCGTCTTCCGCTCGTGGGATCTCATCCGGAATGGATTTTGTGACGCACTTCATGACTTATTTGATGAGTTTACTTGTTACCGACCAACTGTCGATTCGACCATTGGAGCTGCGTATCATGGAGCAACCGCTGCCGGACACAATATTCACATAAACTTCGCGAACAACTATCGAACTATATACAACCATCGTGCGCCGACTAGGCTTCAAGATGCATGAACGGAATGCAAAGCCTAGCCGAATGCTGAGTCACGTTCAAAGGCTCAGCTCTGTCCTTCGGACTGGGTCATAGGTCAGTCATTACGTGATTAATGTCTAAAGCTAGATCAGGCCCTCTTTTTGTCTAATATATTATTAGGGGTATCTATATATGTGCATCAATTTGTATATATCCGAACGTTGATCTTGTGCTGCTATTATTATTCCACCCGGGATTTTGGGTTTATATAGGCACGGAAAATTAGATATACGCATGCATCATTGTATGCGAATGCTTTGAAGCTTCCATTTGGTCGAAGACCTGGTCGTAGATTTAAATAAAGAAGGTATACACTTCATGTTACTCAAGTTAGGATACCTTTTTTTAAAGAAGAATTCACTTGTCGTTTTGGAAATGAAATCAATGTTGTTTCTTTATTTAATTACACTCGTCAAATGTTTTAGAACGCCAATTCACATCAGAATCGAAATTAATCAATAATATACGACCAACCCACAGCGACATGCAGAGCTGATACTTGAAGCAGTATACGGCAGAGGTTTCTATGTGTAAGCGCAACATTCAGCGCACACGTAAAAATATAGGTAAAAAATTAGGCGATAGTCGATTTAGATGTCCCTATAATTCATAGTTAATGCCAATTAGATACGGATAAAGTTCAATTTCGTGAGATCGAAATCTAGATATGAAGCGCCCACTAATTCGATAGCTATATGAAGTTTCGAAATTGTCCACGTTACCTTATACCCCTAGTTATCATACTCTCAATAAAGCTCCAAGAAATACAACCATTTGAATGGAGCTCTCCGCCGTTGCATATTACGAGAGTTTTGGGCCACGACAAGATACATATACAGTAGTCATTTTGTTTTCTGAAAACAGGTTACCTATTATAGTGTGCGGTATGGCCAGCATGACCTGCTTGAAGCACAGTCTGTTCCGCTGTTTCATTACGATTACGTATCTGATCTTCGTAATTATAATGCCATGTATCAAATCAAGTAATCTGGAAGTTTTATGGAGATCAGGAAGCAACGGAGCAAGAAGATCAAGGTAACGTTTGACCAACAAAAAAAAGTCAAAGTGGATGCGTTGTATAGTAGTAGCTGGTACTTGTTTGCTTACATTTATTACCGAATGAAATTATTACTATCATAAAGAAGATTTAAACTACTTCTAAAAGCATCGTTATTTCTTTATTGCATCATCTGTGCAGTTTCAGTATTTGCCCCGGCAAGATCTATGCGAACTCTACTTACGTCCGCTTTATGCAATGTTATGCGAACAGATCATGAAGCAGCTGGATTTGTTGAAAACTTTGCTGATGATGTCATGCGTGTCATGACCATTAATGCAAATACCTTAACATAGCGGGAAACAAAGTGACAAAAATGAGTCTTCAACATCCCCCACGTAAACATGCCAAGCATATCGTGAGTGCGCCGTTTTTTAAATATCTGTCGAGCTCAACTAGATACTCCGGGTAGCTTTTCGTGCTTGCGGTTCCATCATCACCACTTTTATGGAAGCAATACGTATAATGATAGATTCATTCATAAGCGGCATTGCCAATCACACGGATTCCCACATCGGCTAGCGGCAGCTTGCGCCCAACTGTTTGTTGATCACCGTTAGGAGTAGAAGTATCTCGACAAAAAACAATTAATTTTATAATAGAACTATGGTAGTATAGTGACATTTTAATATCTTACATTTCATTAAGCTTTTCCAAAACAAGACGGAAAGCTTACCCCAAGCCAAAATATTGATTAACTTACATGAGGCCAAATTTTGTGTTCTTGATTTTCGTTAGCACTTGGGCTTGATAAACGCTAAGTTTAAAAACACTTAAACAAGCGTACTACAGTTGACAGCAAGTAAATTGTTCCTAATATAAGTGCCACTGGATATTTTTAGAACACGATTTATCTTTAGCTACCACTAATGCCCGACTATTTAGTCCCACCAATTGGCTTGATAATAACAATAATTGCACTAGCGTCATGATGAATATATATACATTTATCGGGGATGATATCGCTTCAAAACGTAGGTCTCCTTTATGCCGTCTGGGTCACTCGAGGTACAAATACGAGGGTACGAAGTAACAATAACACCTCATTTTTACCTACTATAAAACACAATCGGTTGAGTGCGTTTGTAGTAGATTTCCTAGAAGATACAATCAATCAATCAATCCCGACTCCTTCCGTAAAAAGTGAAGCTTGTCCTCAACGCATGATACTGCTTGACGAAGCGTTGCTTGGGCTACTATAAATGTTCTTCGCCGTTCTTTTTGTCATCTTTCCCACGTCCTACAGTACCGGCGATGCGATGTCTGTACATCGGGGTCAGAGCGTAGAGAACCGTGATAGATCAACAGCACTATTTCAAATCTGCAGTTGCGTATATCAAATCTCTGGGGGTCCCAGTGAAGCATCGGCAAATGACATTTTAGAATATTCGATGTCATACTCAGATTGTGTTATCGTATCTTTCAGCCTGAAATCATCATGAATGATAAATCAAGTGCTTGCTTAAAAGCTAATGGAGGTTTTTTAAATGTTTCAGTCCGATTTATTTCTCCACAATTATATTATGTTTTAATATAATAAAAGCTTTATGTTCTATATGTTAGCATGTAGAACGTAAAGCTCCCTATCGTCGATGAATGGTTATGTGCCGCGTTAAATTTTATTCTAAATTAAAATTCGACGAGTAAATGTCTTAAAATGGACGGGACTGCACTTTTGACATTTGATCGATTTCGACTTTTGCTCTGGTGCAAGATCCATTCAAACATCCATGGATATGGACTATATGCCTGACAGGACAGCGTAGAAGCGATTTCCTAAATATACAATAAACATGTTGGACAGAAAAGATGGATCACGCAAATGGCCGACCATAGAAATATGGCTACATTTATGTGATGATCGTCAAGTGTATTCGTTTAATAAGATTTAGTTAAAAGTTAAAAAGTGCTTCATCAACTACGCATAGAGGACAAGTAGGCACGGCTTTTGATAGCCTCTCGGTATTACATACGGCAACGAACAAAGCACAGCAACCTGAGTAAAGTTCCCGCTGGCTACAAATAATGACAATTGATATATTTATCTTAATGCGAAATAGAAGAAAATAGGTGGCTCCGAGATTTCCGTTCAAGTAAGACCCTGATACGATTGTAGTGTCCTATTATTGAATGATGCTTGAGAGACACAAAGGAATCGACAAGGTTTTAGGTATAATTCAGCTGCGTGGAGTAAACAATGGCTCCCAATAAAGAAAAAGATTCCACAAACAGGATGCGAACATTTCTATGAGGACAAATTAGATAACCTGCTAAAAACAATTTAACAAAGTCATAAATAATAACATCAAATGCATAATAAATTAATTCCTTATTAAAATTCTAGTAAAACACTGTAGTTTTTGAGATTAAGATTCCTTATTGGTAATCATAATAGATACTAATTCAAGTAAATGACGAGTGGAATTCCTAAATGGACGTGTAATTCCTAAGAGGACGTTGTAAGGTAGGGCTACGAAGTTGTGTCATGATTATCAAACGCGTAATTTGAAGAAGCCTTATTTATCTGTGCTTGAACTTGAAGCAGATGCTGTAGACTAGCACTTAATGGCCTAAGATCTTGCTTATCTAGCTCTACATAACTAGAACTGTAAATCCGCGGCTTTCTCATAATTCCATATTAAATCTATTAAAAAAAAAGATATAACGTATATTTGAAGAAGGTCTCATCGGTTACAGTCTACGGTGACCAACAAGTTTTCATATTGACTTTTCATAAAAGCCCATATTGAACATTTCATATAAACTTCTCATATGTTATAGGTGATTACTTGATTTTCAGCTGTTTTTTTCGAGCTAAAGCCAATGAAGTAATCGGAGCTAAGTCTACAAAGCTACGTTAAGGAATCCGGGAAGATGAACTGGTCGGTTGATTATAACCACATAGGCTTTGAAGTCATATGAAATGTGCAACGGTAGGAACCGTTGTCCGCACGTAAACAATACTTACTCTTGTATAACGGATCTAGCCAGCGGGGATTTTGCATAATTGCTGGCGCTACATTTGAGTGGCCTTAGAGAGCGGCTACGATCAGCCGATGGTATTGTCTGATGATATTGTCCGATGGTATGGACGAACTCGTGTGATGGGGCAGGTGAGATGAGTCCAAGGGCTTTGCCGCCACATGAGCCGATTGGCTTCACAATATCCTCGTACGGTGAGTACGCTGATGTACTGCCAATCTTCTGGAGCTCGTGCAACCGAAAATTCGCGTACGGGTAAGGGGTTTTATAGCTGCGAACAATAATAAACAAAAATAACGAATACGAAACTATGGTAGTGCCGGTACAATCATACATTAGTCCTAAAATTAACGAAACTTTGGGGTGTGAATCATTGACGAACTCGTTAACGGTATGGATCGTCGACGCCCGCGAAAAACGTTGCCGGAGGGTCCAGTATTATGCAAGAAATCGGCCCCTATTAAAGCTTATTTGTGGACTAAGGAAGGAGTATATTAAGAATGACTAATTAAAGGTTTAAGTGTCTAATTGAAGCTGTAATGGCGGTGGATAATGATTTCATTAGATAAACGTAACTTTCAGGAAACTTCTAGCACGAGCAAGACATTCCGTTGTAATACCTTTTTTTGTTTAGATACAATTCTGAGAAGTCAAGCATATAAAACAATATCAGTTTACGAGGCCTAATATATATATATATATATATATAGTACGTGGTCGCAAATGCGTGCTCTTTACTTTTATTTATCGTTATGTATTGGGAATAATAACAGACAAGTAAAGGATGCCTTTTTAGCACCGAACTATACGTAGAAGAACACTTGTAGCACAGAACTAACTGCTAAGCTTAGGAACATATGAAGGTTGAGAAAAAGCGACGTTTCATGCATGAGGCAAAATCAGCCCAATTCTATGCGTAAAATTTGAATCATTTATTTTCTAAGTAACAGCGACTAAAACCCAAGTCTAAACGCTAGTTGATCTGATATGAATAGTAACAAAATATTGTTCATCCATTACTCTACATAAACGTACGTAGCGACTTTTACAAATTAACCAACCTTTGTGTTTTTAAAACTGGCGAAGTACGGACACTTTTGTTCGGCTTAAAATCATTGATCTCCTTGCGTTGGCACATGTAACCTACGACTGCAGAGAATCCCAAGAGCATCGTAAACCCCGATAGGATGACGATTGTTGTAGCCGCTGCGAATAGAACTGGTTATTATATTTGGAATACCAGGGCTAGGCACCTGTTACCACTGGGCCTGTTAGCCATAGGAGTGACATGCAACCAATCAGTGACATTTCAGCGCTCAGGCGTCACAACCTTGTGGCAGGACGTTACACGACTACAGCACGTCCTTAGGATATATTATCTTACTATTCCAGGCGTAATAAAACAGAAGCTACTTGATTAAAATAAAGGGCTCGTTTCTTGAATAAGCGCAATTTTTGTACGAAAATTAAGCCGAGAAAGTTATTTGTTCAAGGTAAACGTTAAAATTTAAAAATCTTTTTTTTTTTTTTTTTTTTTTTTTTTTTTTTGTAAAGCGTACCTAAACTCCTAGGCTTTGATTTGAGTTCACATTGAATGATTCAATGACATCATTCAGTAATATACATATGCAAAGGTATCATGCAAACTTATAGGTTGCAAATCTGTGTGTGATGAAGAAAAGTGACTGAATTTCGCGCAGATTCAAAATTAGGACCTTTATCCAGGTGCAAATAATTCTATTTCAAAAATACCGAGTTCTATATATATCCTGGGTTATAGAAAATTATTTTGCCGTGTGTGTTCGTTAAGATTCCGAAAATAATAACACTTAGAAAAAAATTAACTAGCCAATGGCTGCGCCTCTGTAGCGCTGACGAGCTGTGCTCTTGTAATTTTTGCAAACTACACTTCGGGAAATACAGACAAACCGAGTGAATAACTACTCCACAGGGATACGATATTTGGGCTGAACAAAACCCACAATTTTTTTTGTTATTGCCAGTTTCGAAGGTATTCGGAAGATAATTCCACGAACCAAGACGGAATATACGCAACGGGTTTTGAAATCATATTTTCGATGAAAAAATCCGCAGCTACTTTTAGAAAGAGAGCTTGTTGAGCCAATCGGAGAAGCTTCAACAATTGCTCGTCTTAGACGTTTTTACACAAACCTCTACCTTTTGGCCTAGCTGAGCCTTTGTATGTTTGTTTTTTTTTTGGCACAAATAATAGCACACTATTTTAAGCACAGAGTGGCTGCTTCTTTTACGTCTGCTGAGTTTGAGTCTATGATGATGATATGCTCCAAGTGGACTTTTTGCTAATAGTAGTTCTTCCTAGAATACACTGCACCGTCTGTTCTTGGGTGTCAGTTTATAAGTAATATTTTTTTTGTACTTTTTCAGTACCTTCATTAAAGTTTTATAATACGTGGTTGGGTTAGTTAAGCCGGGGAGCGTATTGTTCATATTCGGTTTCGCTCAGAAAATTTCGTGAGAATAGCCGTTCTAAGTTCCATAAAACAATCACCTTCTTAATAGCCTTCAACCTTCTAGTTGAATTGATTGTGCCAGGCTCTTTTGTCTCACGTAAGGCTTCTTTACCCAGTGTTGTCGCCTATCTCCGACGAATTCTACCAGCGCTCATGTTTCCCGGAAACAGAAACTTAGTCAATAAACGTTGATCTTGTGCATTAAACGATATCTCTTCTCCTAAACTTATTGTTCTCTACTAACTTCGGTTAGCTGTAACTTGTAGCTAAAAATGAAATATTTTCTAAATTTTGTCTACTAACGACACGTAGTTTGCAGATTACTCAAAGGAAACTTCCGGAATAAACAAGTGAGATTAATTTAGTCCGAACGCTTTATATATACAACAGATCGAAATACCTCCCTGTTCAGGCTGTAATAATCTATCATATATCTATAATATAATGATTTTTGCTATCTTCATAAAATAGGTTATTGCGAAGATATTCGGCTCATAAGTACACTAACATACAACAACGCGTAAACTATACACGCGTACATTTGATAGTACCAACATGTAATTGTCGAAAAGCGTACTACCGTCATCAACCGTCAGTAATTATTGAAAGTTGTATTTGTATCGAAACGACGTTTACCGTGCATGAAGGCTATTTTTTTCAGGCAAACATAAAAAGAGCTCAAACAATTAACTAGGAGACAACTGTAGAATATGAATGTATGGTCTAAGATCATAAAATTTCATCATATGCATTTCTACGTACAGATCGATTTCATAAGGGAACACTACAGTGGGCAGTATGTACATGCTGAAAGCGCCTACCTATATCACGCTTTGTCGCCGTATGTAGCATTTGTTGTTCAAATTTATCCCATCCATCTTTGGTAATCGTATAAATTAAAACTATAACCAGTGCACATAGATGAACGCTGCACGAGCACCATACGAGGCCCAATCGAAAAATATAACGCTGGTACAATCCCTGTCGTACAAATAGGCGTGCAAGAAACGCCAAGAAGACTAGTACATCCTGTAATAAATGTAGAGATATATCAGAAAAATACTCTTCTATCCATTCATGTTCTATACCGCTATATCGTTGTAAAGGCAAGCGAAAAGATCAGATTTAAATTCCTAAACACATTCGATGACCATGTTTCATAAACTAGTTTATCGAAATGCGATTCCTTAATCAATTTCTGGCCATAATAAAGTATTGTTACTCATCCTAACTCGTGCTCTGACATGCATGATTTTTTCTTGGAGAACCGTGCAGTTATGCATACAAATGTTACAATTAATTACCAGTAACTGGGTTTTATGTTTTTTTTTTTATGGAGTTTCCTCTTCGATCAAAAATAAACGTGTCTTCCGAATTCAAATAGCAATGCGAAGTTCTTCATGTCGTTTAAAGCTCTCAGCGTCAATACTCCGAATAAACAGAAGGGCTACTGCCCGTTACGGTATATCACACATAAGAAAAAGTTCACCTAAATTATGTTGTATCCATACTGTATATCAATTTTTTCGGTGTGCACAGACCGTCCACAGCAGACCTCTGTAGAAGCTTCTGTTTACATGCATTACCGCAGGCCACAAATATGTCTTTACGGCCTTAACAACCGGCTTCGCTAATACATCGACGCGTGCATAAGTGTCATTACAATCGCGTTCACCGTTAACGAGATTGCGTAAAACATTATAATAGAATGATATAAAAGGAGACCTGCCCTTGCAACTCGTGGTGCTAAAAAGGACGACATGTCAAATCAAGTACTGACTATGGATCCGAGAACCGCGCCTCCAGTGGGTCTTCGATGGTTAGCGGATGTCGCTTGCCACACCTCATATAGAATGGTGACTCCGACGAATAGGTGAAGAATCAGTATGGTGGTAACCAGTGACAATTGAAGACGAAACTTCCAGTAATCCTATGATGATAAGGAAATTCGAGGTTGAGCATTTTTTACGGCAAAATATCATTATGATTTTAGTAAAATTTGTGAAAAATTGCCGCTTGTATCAACCTTTTTTCATTATAATTAAGCGGATCACTTTAATTATCCACCCAAAGTATAGTTTCTTTACAGAAGTTTTCTCTTGCATAAATATAAGTGTGAATGTTAGTTTGTCTCAATGGGAAATATAATGAACGTCATTTATGTAGGAGAAAATCCAAATGTTAGCTTATTCATACGGCGTTCAACACTAGATTCAAATAGGTATGAAACTCTTTTAATCGCTGTCTGGCCGCCAATGCGATTTCCGCTGTGAATTCTAAAGTGCTTTTTTTCTAAAAAAAAAAATAATGAAATTTTCTCATACCAGTCTGACAATCTGTGTATAAAAGGCCTGACTGGAGAGGTCTATTAGATAACTGTTTGTAGTGTCTGCTGATCAAATCCTAAACGCTACAAAGATGACCTGCTCTGGTTATCATAAAAATCCTTGCTATCAGGCTGACTAAATACTGATTCGATTTTTCTCATTTCTAAACTAAGCATAAAAATACGGTTCCGACACGGATTTCGATACTCGTATAGCCTCTGTACCGTTTGTTTTCTGCGACTCTTTTCGATCCTTACAAATGTTCGTATTTACAACTGTCGTTACAACAGGGCGAGTTTAGAATTACTTGTAATCGATCTTTCAACTTAACTAGAGCATGTTACACGGACTTTGTCAGTTGAGATCATACAGGAACCTATAGTTCAACACATGCCGTAAACAAAATGACTACATATTTATGAGCACTAGGTACTTAAAAATTTGCGCTTCTTTAGAGGCAAAACTCCGTGAGCTTGAGGCTCCTACTTGATGGCTGTCTTATGCAGAGGCAAGAACTGTGAGCGTATCCATGGATGAAATCATACGCAGAAGTTCTCGAATGTACTCACAGGGCTACTGCGTAGCTTAGCGCTGCGGTCATCGGTTACAGCGTACGCCTCTTGGCGGAACATCTTTGCTGTACGATTGGAAAATGTCGGGGACACGGTGGCGCCAGCGGTGCTACGCAAAACCGGACGAAGTGCAGTCAATAAATACAACTAAACAAAGTAAGAATAATCTCGCTGACGACTTAAGGTCCTCTGTTATTCGAAACAAAGCGAACGTTGTTCAAGCAACATTGACCAAGCACTTTACGTACAGAATAGCGCGTGACGAGAGTCATTGACGAGCGGGAGACGAAACAAGCTGCTGACTGCGAGAGGCATCGGACCGAATGAAATTGGCACGATACATGCATAGGAAGCACATACTAAAGTAGGGTGCTTACGTAAACTCGACATACATACATATATAAATTGGCCCAAAAAGCCTTACTTCTTTAGTGTATAGGAAAACTGTGCGTGAATATACATCCGTTGCTAATTTTTTCGTGATCTGAAAAAATCTACTGCGATAGCTTGGTTGGATTATGATTATAAAAGCAATCATATGAATGAATTGTGTATAACACAGACAGCATTGGCGATTTAGCCACATCATAGTCCTATCAAAGCATAACGTTTCAAAGTGGTTCTTTTAGCAAACAAATTTACTTCCCTGAAAGGTCTTAGAAAAGCTCTAAGACAGTTTTCTCGTAGATCTTGTAGCTCTTCTAGAATTTCTAGATTTTAACAGGCATTATAGCTTCAAATGTTTTTAGGTTATAAATTTGTAGCTCAATGAGTCAACAGTTGGTCGTGGTAGTGACCGGGTACTGGTGTTTCCCTCGGATCAATAGACGTTCCATCTCTTTTTTAACGTAGCTATTGATTTTGTTTGTTGCTTTGTTTTGTAACTATATTTGTCTTGGTCGTATTCCTTTGATGGCTACGTTTACCTTTCAGACATTTTTATAACCGATTAGTTTGAAGATACTTAGCGCCTCGATTTCCGCCGTATTGAAAATAAAGCATGCATGTCGTTGATATTTTATGAACGGGGAATACGGGGAATTAATAAGCTTCCAGCAGCCCAACACTTTAACGCATTACTGAACTACCGCAAAAAGCAGGGCACAACATCAAGCGTCCACTCGAATCCGCGCAAGGCGAGTCCATGCATGTAATAATAGATCATTCGGAATTGCTCAGATGTGATGCAAATGTCGCAAGTACCAATCAAAAAATACGCCAATCAATTGAGACCCTGGAGAAAGAGCTCTCACTGATCTCGATATAACCAAAACTAAGTAGTTCGCTTTATCAACAACCATCTGGGTACATTGTAATAACCAAATTTCATAACGTTTTCTATTTATCATTAGCCCATATTTCATTCGTTAGTTTTGAATCTGTGCGGGCGCATTCAATGTCATGTTTTGCGGCCCTGGTTTTGATTAAGTCGCGAATTAACGAGCACACAGTTCGGCAACTTAAATTTTACCAGTCCACTTCATTCGCCGTTAGCGAGGTGAACGGGGCCGCGCTGGGCGAGCGGATCGTGGTTGAGGCGGAGGTGATGCTCGCGCTGGAGGCGCGCCAGTCGGGAGTACTGGTCCGGGACTTCCTGCGGGATAACGTGGGGGCGAGAGATTTTGGGGGTAGTTTGATGACGAGGAATTTTGAGGATAGTTTGGCATCTGTGCTGTCGACGACCGTGCCATAGGGGATTGCTGACCCTGTTGCATAACCGGCACATACATCGGTGGATTATTACCCAAAATGAGGATGACCTTAGGCGGCACGACCGGTATGGCTGGCTCGGGAGTGGTTGGACAAACATGAACTACAGGCGCCTTCGATACTCGGACTGGAGGTGTTTTTCCTTTTCGAGTGGTAATTCTGAGGCGACTTCTCCTTCGGCCGATCGATGGGTCGTCGCGTTCGGTTTCAGTGGTCACAAGTGACAGGGAATCTTTCCTACCCGTGATCTTCGTACTGATTCTCGAATGGGGTCGCTCAATCATAATATCGCTAGGACGGGCTTGCTGTTTGATGAACGGTGGCGGACGTTGGTGGGTACATGCGAGCGCAAACCCGGCACCAGCCCCTACAAGATGCAGCCTAGCATCGGCTTCAGGCAGAAACGCATAGATCAGTACGACCTCTCCACACGCGCGGAGAGCGGTCAACGCATAATTCCGCCATTCTGCTTTATGTCGCATTATTCCAGCGAATACCTGGATAGCTAGTAGCGTTGACGATATACCGACAATCTCGGTTCCAGGAGGCACACACTCGTTAGAAAACGGCGGACAACGGTATGCTAAATTTGTGCACACTATAAAAAGAAGATTTGTTACGACCTGTAGAAACACGCAATAAATGATCATAATGTACTGTTTTACGAAGATCTTCTGCATTTGGTACATGACGATGTACGCCGTGCTGCAGATGTATATCAGGTGGGTTAGATTGACAGCGCCGAATGACGGAACCAGCAATAGATAAATCTGTCCCGAAGGGATTGCACAGAATAAATTAATTCCTTCCGGAAAAATATGGCAGAAGTACTGCGTGATACTAGCTCCCACCAATAGACATGCCGACACACGCGGTAGGAAATATAATACGACCTGACCAACCCTACGAGGAGCGGGCAATAGTACTCTCGTATAGGGCAAGGTGACCACTTTGCCAAGAAGGCCGATCAGGCTGCGATTTTCCGTTAAACGCAGTTGCGATATTGCTAGACCGACGATAATCCCGAGGCACACGTCGTAGGTCTCACCGCAAAGCAGAGGAATAATGAGGTATTCCAAATATGGGAGCCTGCGTGCAATTATGGACAGCAAATACGGAAACCGAATCGGCTGCTCCGCATACGCCCAGCGGTGGGTGATAATTTTGAGCGCCATGAGCGTCACGAACGGTCCGCCTGCGATACACATTAGGTCTGTGTGCTCACAGATGTACTTTGTCACGCCAGTCGTAATCATGAGCAACATGGTGACAAAGATAAACCTGCGCGGGCCCATTTTCGATTCGAGGATGATGCACTTGTACAAAAAACTTGTGCCGAAGTAGAAGACATCGGCTGATCGTTTAAACGTCACTATTCCAAACGCCGAGTAGAATGCGATCTTGCGGAGTGGCGTTGTCGCCAACGCTGCGGCTGCCCCTCTGTACCTGTGCGATGTCAAGATGAACACCGTCAATAGGTTGGTTATGGGCGGGATAGCGAATGGCGAAACGTACCACCAAAGTATAGCGAATAAGAACGTAAAGTTAGTCTCCGTCGCAACATAGTTCCAATTGTGCTGAAATATCTGAAACGCACGCAGGAGTCCTGGGATAGCATGTTCCCAATTCAGCTGGGATTTTGGCAGACGACCGAGCATCGTTATCGGTCCTAGTTAACGAATAGCACTCCAACTAGTTAGTGTTTAAATCAGCTCTCTGATCCATCTCACTCACTCACTGCAGACTCAGACTGTTGATAGTATGGATAGATAGAAAATGCGATACGGTTATTCGAGAGACGGGATCGGCTTAAGTGACTTGAATCTATTAAGTATGTTCACAAGAAATTGGGATCTGTACATCACTGTATTCCAACTACGGTTGGTTCCTTCTATCGATGCTGACGGGGCATGGAACATACTCAGCTAAAAAGATCTGCTTATTCGTATATTCTTTTGCCTAGGTCTGCATTCGCCGACCACATATACCTTCGGTCGCTACTAATAACCGCGCCACAAAAAGTACATATCTGCTTCACGCGTCTATAATGGGAAATGAGAAATGCGTATGGATGACGGGATGTTTTTTCAGGCCCTGCAAATACTCCTGTAAAACTATATCAGGTACTTGAGCTTTCAATAAGTGGAGGTTGTTAACTTCACACAGAGCATGAGTACAGGCAGATCAATTGAAACTAGTGGTAATATGTACATCTGCAAAACAAATGAATCAATTGAGTTTGACGTATAAGCCAAGCCACAGATAGGTAGCAGTTTGCCTCTAGATACCAATGTGTTATTTACAACTATCTACAAGGGTAGGCTCCCTGTTTGCTTAGCCATATTGTATTGCACAATTGCTGCGAAAGAACTTTGACTTTAACTGTACCTAAGGCCATTTGCAGGTCATACTTTCGACGATATGCATATTGATTTCTCGGTAGGTGATGAACGTAATTGGTAGCCAGTACCTATACCCGAATATAGACCAATTGTTTTATCGAAAAATTTATCGCTGGATAGATATTTGATTTGAAAGTCATCAAATCATTTAACTTGTTTTTCAGTACTCTGCTATGGTGACTCAATTTTTGTAATAATAGATATAGCAGTGAATCTTCCGGTCGGCCAGGCAACTTCACTGGCGAATGCCTAAGTTACTATATTAAACGTCCTGGGTAGCATGTTTGGCGTTTGCCTTCCTCCTTCATTCATTCATATTAATGTAACAGGCTTATTTCGTTAACAGTACGTAATTTTTTAAACTGATGACTGTATAAGTAATATAATGTAAGCTATAGCTTCTCCTTTTCGTCTCGCTTAAAACAATCCAGGGAACGACTGTGCAAACTAGTCGAGTGAAAATTTTTTAAAATCTAACTTAAGTCTCTTACTTAAATCGCTTGACGACAATTCTCATCCAAAACATACCCCAAATGTTCACTTATATGTATCATTATTATGCAGAGGATGACAAAATCTGATCGATCTGATTCACGATAATTTTCCAAGCCGATTCTTGCCTTTGTAACTCGTGATGATACTACTCTTTACCGCTTTATAGTAGCTCATCTGTGTGTCGAACACTCTACGGTTCGATATCAGTACACGGCCTATTGGAGGTAACAAGATGCGCCATGATTGGGGCAATAAACCTCATTCAGCTGAGAGCTGGTCTGTATCTCTTTATTCTCCGAGAGCCCATCGAAAATGCAGCATACTGAACTACCCAGGAATGTCTGATTAAGAGCTTAAAAAGATACCTGTGAAATGATGCGGAAGATTTATATCGGATTTTAGAAATGTATGGACGTGCAAGATGTGATTTATCCCTTGGCAGAGTCATTATGTTGACTGTGACTCTGCTATCTATCAAAAGCAGAAAGGCAGATTGAAAAGTCTTAAAAAAAAGTAAACCGTGCAGACACTCTTGAGTTAATTTTTCCTTCATTTTCATATCAGTACTTTAATCGATAATGTGATTGGCCTGTCTTTGATAATCAAGCT